GTTTTGAAGCACTATGATTTTCTTAATAAGACAGTCACAAAATGTTAGATTTTTTTTTATGTGTTTAGCTGTAATTCACTATATAAGACTGCCACTAGTACAACTTAACATTATGGTAACTAGAAGTTAGTGAAAGCTCAGTTTATCAAAATGTAACTAATACAGTAAGTCCCTTACATACGAACAAGTTCCATTCCGAGAGCACATACATTAAAGTCCAATTTGTTCGTAAGACCAACAAAGTTAGCCTAGGTACCCAACTAACACAATCGGTTATACAGTACTGTACTATAACAAGTTTATAATACTTTTCACACAAATAATACATAAAAAACAAAAAAAACACGAAAAATAAAACATTTTTAATCTTACAGTACAGTACCTTGAAAAGTACAGTAGTACAACAGCTGGAATACAGGGGCTGTTGGCAGTACCAGCTACATCACTGCTGCTTTTACACTTGCTTCCAGACATCCTGGGCTTGAAGTAAAGATACTGTACTACTGTACTCTATAAGTACTGTAAAGTACACAAAAGCACAACCACTTGTAGAGGATGCACACACGTGTCAATGTACACCAGACACGTGAACTAACTTATGCGACTGGACATGTGAAGACATGTTCACATCTTTGAAAGTTCGCAACTTGAAGGTTCGTATGTAGGGGACTTATTGTATTACAAGTGTTTGTATCAGCAAGAACATTTTATGTACGATGCTCTACTTCCTATTAAAACTCATTACAAAAACATTTCATGAGTAAAATAACTACTGTTGAAATCAAACAAGCCCTAGAATACTGGGGTATGTGTCTATTTTCATAGGCTTGAGAGGCACAGATGACAAGTATTTTCAAATCTAGATACTATTTTTTTAATTAATTAATTAATTTATTTATTTTTGGCTGTGTTGGGTCCTTGTTTCTGTGCAAGGATTTTTCTCTAGTTGCGGCGAGCGGGGGCCACTCTTCATCGTGGTGCGCGGGCCTCTCACTATCGCGGCCTCTCTTGTTGCGGAGCACAGGCTCCAGATGCGCAGGCTCAGTAGTTGTGGCTCACGGGCCTAGTTGCTCCGGGGCATGTGGGATCCTCCCAGACCAGGGCTCGAACCCGTGTCCCCTGCATTGGCAGGCAGATTCTCAACCACTGCGGCACCAGGGAAGCCCCAAATCTAGCTACTATTAAATGCACATTTCTCATAAGGCAAGCAAAAATGCTAATGGACCATTATAGACCATATGAAATGAAGTCTATACACCATTATAGACTGAGTAATCAAATATTTACTTTTTTTTCAAACCAAAGTAAAAATGTTCTAAATCTTAATGAAAAGCTGTCTTATATAATAGAAAAAAATGTAGAACTAGAACTATACAACCAGGTTTGGGTGCCAGCCAGCACTTTTGCTGACCTGATGTATGACTTTGATTTTTTCCCCCACGAGTAAAAAAGAAATTGGATTATGTAATCTCCAAGGGTTTGTTTTCGTTTGTTTGTTTTTTGATTCCAATACTAAAAGCTTTATGTAATAGGCAAAGGCCAATTTTTGAGCTGGAAATAGACTTTGGTAGAATTCAGTAGAAGGCAGATAAGTCAAAACTAAACAATCCCGTTTAAAAAGGTGCCCAGACTAAGGTTACAGAATGTCAAGACATACTGTTCAAATTGGCAGATGATACTAAGGGCGATCACTGAAATTACTGTGGATTTGAAGCTATACTGCTTTCTATAGACATTTAGTCTCAGAATTCATTCCTCCTTCTGGCAGAATTTTCATGTGGGGATACCCCCTCCTCCATGTGGTCTCGGTGGCAAACTAGCCGCCCCCACCCCAACCCTGCAACCCAGGACAGAGCTCATGACAAATCAGCAAACAATACAACCTTGGCCACTGACTGTTTCAGTAGGTAGGGCCCTAAACCAGTCCAATCAGATTGAATTTTAGGATTTGTTCAGGAACCGCCACAAGAGAGTAACTCCACTAGATCTGAAATAATAGGTACATGAGACTCAGATGTGCAATAACCCCCTTGACAACATAACAGGAAAGCCTATCTGAGAATGGAACCATGCAGTGGAAGTGGAAACAAGAAATGGAGAGAGCAAGAGAACTGATTATGTCATTTGATCTCCAGTACGAAGCTATGCTTTAAGCCATCCCTACCCCTAGGAGGTCTTAGTTTCACAAGTAAATAAATTCACTCTCACTTAGTCTGGGTTGAGTTCTTTCTTGCAACTGAAAAAAATCATAATTAAGTTTCTCTACAATAATCTCAATGTAGTCTCATGGATGAGGAAAGATCTTTCCCAAGTTCTTGCCATATAACCCAGCTAAATCATTTAATCCCCTTATGTCTCAGTATCATCAACAAAATAAAGTATCAGCCATTATCTGCTTTAAAGTGTTGTGAAGGTTAAAAAAAAATGTTTGTGTAAGTAAAATGATATTTAAATCCAATGCCCTGTAGATGGAAAAATGGTCTCACTTTTTAAAAAGTAATTTTAGGAGGTCATTTTTACAATGAGTATTACTATAAAAAGTTTCTAGGGAACCAGGGAATTAGGAAATACCAATAGGACCTGCTGTATTTAGATTCAAATCTAATTGTATTCAAGCCTGTTTCTACACAGTACGTGAGTATAAAAAAGAAACTCCAAATCAAGCAGTCCTGAGATTAGGTATTAGTTCTATTGCTTACAGGTTTGTATGACTTTGGGTAAAATAACCTCTCAAAGCATCTTAACTCCATACCTATAAAACAGAACAGTAATATCTATCTCAAGTTACAAGGTTTTTGTGAGGATCAAATGAGATAACAAGTTATGAAAGCTCTTGGCATGGTGTCTGCATTTAACATACCTTCCATACAATGTATTAAATAATAATTTTTTCCTATTGTTATTCAAGTGCCTGAAGTTGGAGGAAAACTGTATTTCAGGGGAAAGGGAGGGGCAAATTAGGAGTTTGGGACTAACATATACACACTACTCTATATAAAATAGATAACCAACAAGCACCTACTATATACCACAGGGAACTACACTCAATATTTTGTAATAACCTATAAGGGAAAAGAATCTGAAAAAGAATAGGTATATATATGTATAACTGAACCACTTTGCTGTATACCTGAAACTAACACAACATTGTAAATCAACTATACTTCAACAAAAATAAATTTTTAAAAAACTTCAAAAAAAAAACTGTACTCCATTCATTCCAAGATATACTGATAACTATTTCACTGTCCAAAATCAAATAGTACCTTATAGTTGTTGGAATGCCATTGTTTATTTGGCAGTGGTTTTTTCTTTTTTCAGCGCTACATAATAGTGCATCCTGCAGTTAAAGGTTGCCTTAGATTTATTTATTACTTTTTTTAAACACATTATTGGAGAATAATTGCTTTACAATGGTGTGTTAGTTTGTGCTTTATAACAAAGTGAATCAGCCATACATATACATATATTCCCATATCTCCTCCCTCTTGTGTCTCCCTCCTACCCTCCCTATCCCACACCTCTAGGTGGTCACAATGCACCGAGCTGATCTCCCTGTGGCTGCTTCCCACTAGCTATCTATTTTACATTTAGTAGTGTATATATGTCCATGCCCATGCCACTCTCTCACTTCGTCCCAGCTTACCCTTCCCCCTCCCTGTGTCCTCAAGTACATTCTCTATGTCTGCATCTTTATTCCTGTACTGCTGGTAAGTTCTTCAGAACCCTTTTTTTTTTTTTAGATTCCATATATGTGTTAGCATACAGTATTTGTTTTTCTCTTTCTGACTTACTTCACTTTGTATGACAGACTCTAGGTCCATCCACCTCCCTACAAATAACTCAATTTTGTTCCGCTTTATGGCTGAGTAATATTCCATTGTATACATGTGCCACATCTTCTTTATTGATTCATCTGTCGATGGACATTTAGGTTGTTTCCATGTCCTGGCTATTGTAAACTGTGCTGCAGTAAACATTGTGGTACATGTCTCTTTTAGAATTATGGTTTTCTCAGGGTATATGCCCAGTAGCGGGATTGTTGGGTCATATGGTAGTTCTATTTTTAGTTTTTTAAGGAACCTCCGTACTGTTCTCCATAGTGGTTGTATCAATTTACATTCCTACCAATAGTGCAGGAGGGTTCCCTTTTCTCCACACCCTTTCCAGCATTTACTGTTTCTAGATTTTTTGATAATGGCCATTCTGACTAGTGTGAGGTGATACCTCATTGTAGTTTTTATGTGCATTTCTCTAATAATTAGTGATGCTGAGCATCTTTTCATGTGCCTCTTGGCCATCTGTATGTCTTCTTCGGTGAAATGCCTATTTAGGTCTTCTGCCCATTTTTTAACTGTACTGTTTGTTTCTTTGATATTGAGCTCCATGAGCTGTTTGTATATATCAGAAATTAATCCTTTGTCTGCTGCTTCGTTTGCAAATATTTTCTCCCATTCTGAGGGTTGTCTTTTCATCTTGTTTATGGTTTCCTTTGCTGTGCAAAAGCTTTTAAGTTTCATTAGGTCCCATTTGTTTATTTTTGTTTTTATTTTCATTACTCTAAGAGGTGGGTCAAAAAAGATCTTGCTGTGGTTTATGTCAGAGAGTTTTTCCTATGTTTTCCTCTATGAGTTTTATAGTGTCTGGTCTTACATTTAGGTCTTTAATCCATTTGGAGTTTATTTTTGTGTATGGTGTTAGGTAGTGTTCTAATTTCATTCTTTTACAGGTAGCTGTCCAGTTTTCCCAGCACCATTTACTGAAGAGGCTGTCTTTTCTCCATTGTATGTTCTTGCTTCCTGTGTCATAAATTAGGTGACTATATATGCATGGGTTTATCTCTGGGCTTTCTATTTGCCTTAGATTTAATAAGGTACACCGATTCCCATTTTAAGAACCATAGTACTTAACCAAATAAAGTAGTACTTACCCAAGATATACATTAGAAACAGAGTGTGTGGATGTATTTATATAATCAGGTATAATTTTACTTTACATACCTCTGTAGGTCAACTATTTCATTGTTAAGGGTATCTAGCTCCTTAATAGCAGAGAAATCTGCGACAGGACTTGATCCTATGATGTTCTAAAAACAAAGAGTTCACAATTATAACATTATTACTATAAAATTCCATGTGGCAAAGCATTAAAAATGTTTAAAAGCACTATATGGATACATAATTTATGGTATTACTAACACTTTTAATTCACTTAAGAAAACCCTATCTAGTGCAATTTTACACACACACACACACACACACAGGCAGTTATATACTAAGACATTTTCCCTTAAACTCTCTAAAACCTGTTGTTCTGTAATATATACCACCACTTGAGATCCCAATGTCTTCGTCGTGTGATCTTAGCCTGTCTAGAATGTTGCAGTAAAGCAGATATCAGATTTATAAACTAATTCCTCCACTGAAGCATAAATTTCTTGGGGAGGTGAATTGTGATTTATTTGTATTTGTATTAAGTAAATGGTGGTTGATTTTATTTAATTCAAGAAGTATTACTTTTATTAAATACTTTCAGTGTCTATTTAAAGTAAAACCAACCGCTCAGCATGTTCCATAGTAAATATTAATATCACCATACATGAAACTGTCTTATATGACATCCTTTACATATTGTTTTCTTTCAATAATGGAGGTATCAAAATTAGTCTCTGAATGGTATTTGTATTTAGAAAACCTAGCTGGGTTTATTCTGGGCTCTGCTGTTTTACTAGCTGCATGATCTTCACTGCAAAACAGGGAAATAATCTCTGCCCTGCCCTCTTTAAAAATTAAATAAATATTGCATATGAAGTCCCTCTACAAACTTTATGATATTTTATAAAGGTAAGCTATTATTATACTTAACTTCCTCAACAGAATATGCTCTTGAAAGTTGGAAAGGCTCCCAATGACTTGCTTCCACCCTGGCTCAGTCCCCTTTGTGAACCATTTTTGATGCCTTATATAGCTGGCTGAAGTCAAGGCAAAAAGATAACTGCTCCTTCAAACACCTGACCTACACCCAATGCTACAACCAAACTGACAAATAACAGGATGATCATCATTAGGAAATGTTAAAACTGAGGCCTAAACATGTAAAACTAAGATATATTGAGGACCTTATTAGCAGAACATAAAACTTAGTATTATACTTATGTTGCTGTGAACTTAAGGTATGTCACCAACTTGCACAACAGAAGAAGAAACCTAAAAGTTCACAGTAACCTATCTGCTCACATTTATATAATGGTTTACAAATTTACTAAGTACTAATCTGAAAACTGGTCTGTAGGTAGGGCAGATATTATTATTAACCCCATTTTAGAGCTAAAGAAACATATTAAATGACTTGCTTAAAGTTGAACCCAGCTAGCTAATAGGCGATATTGATCAGGAGACTTCTAATCAAATTCAAGTGCTATTTCACATTATGCCCCTTGGCACCTGCATATTAAGATCATTTAGGTAAACAAAACCATTACCCTAAAAGCCAACTTGATAAACAGGTACATCAATAAAATGTGGCAAATAATTCCTTCTATATTTCTTTATGCTATACTGCATAACCGTCCTCATATGTTTTGTTTTGTTTTGTTTTGACTATCAATACCAAAACTCATCCGTTAGGATTCAATTAACGCTATTCTCAATTTTATATTAATTACAGATTTGTACCAAATATGCCTCTTACTATGTTTTACTATTATGTGTTTCACTGACACATAGACCCTTATCATTCTAAAAAGTCAGAAATTTTAAAGTGGGTTTCTGAATGTGACAAGTATTTACTAGGATTTTAACTCTGCCCAAACTTGACTTATGAGCTAATTAAGCCTGGCCAGACAATTTGAAAGGCGAACAAAATGAAAAATTAGCACTTAGTCTCACTTTTATCACCAAGAGTAACTTACATCCCATAAGTGCTACTGAGAAATTTGCTATCAGAGGTGCAAGCAAACCAAGAAACTCAGGACTCCCATACCTGTTCTGTCACTCTAACTCAAAAAAAGTGACTCACATTTGACAGTCTTTCCCTATTAAAAATATCATCAAATAAGAAGAGTGAGACAAATAAGTTTAATTTCAAACAAGTTATATGGTAATACCATAGATGACTCCAGAATGAAGATTAGTGTACTTAGTTGGTATTGATAAGTGTACTTGTGTCACTCTCAATTGCTGACACAAAAATTAAACTCCTGTTCTAGAGCAATAAAATAACATGCAATCAGGAAGCAAAGAAAAAGTTCGGCTAACAGTATATAAAGTATAAGAAGGGCATATGAAGAAAAATGTACCATGTCCCCTTCTTGCAAAATATTTTCTCTCACCCTGTTTTGTGTATTACACAAAAATTCCACTTCGGTGATTTTAAGTGGATCAGAGAGCTTAGGGAAGGCAAGTTAAAATGCACACAAGGACCAAGGGACAGACATGTGACAAAAGCATGCTGTTTAGGTATTTTCTCTGCATTAACTTTGAGGCACAAACAACCTCTAATTTCAAAATGTTATCTTGTAAACCAAAAACCGTAATGCTAAAAAAGGCATAAAGTAAAGCTCTAACCTTGAGAGAGTAGAGTTAAGAAACTGACAGTACAAGAAAGGCGAAAAGCAGAGTGCTGCAGAATGGAAAAAATAGTCCAAACTAGAAAAAACACAGAAAGGAAAGCAACATTCAAAAAAGGATTAGTCAAAGCTGCAAAAAAAATGCAGTTCTAAAAAAATTAGATTATAAAGAGAAAAGAGATTATTTGAAAGACAAAACAAATGCAAATTTTAATTTTTAAGGTTAAAATTTTTGGTTTATAGATAGGACAACAGTGATAAAATCCCATTTTAATGAATAATACTGATACCTGACATGGACAAAAGTATCTATGCTCTAGTGAATGGAATTCAGTAAATCTACTTAATTGAAAATTCTGTATAGCAGATGCAACTCAAAGTGCCTACTAATGTTACAGAGACTTCAATGAACAAACAATTTGCTTCAGAAAGTTCTGCTGTATGTGTATTTTGTGTTGGTGGGAGACTCAGTGGGTATAAAATGAAGGCAGCAAGGAAAAAAAGCAGTCTACTTATGTGAAAGAAGATGAAACAACACAGTGTTCCATAACTGAGCAGGGGGCATAAATACAAATTTGTAACCTTTATCTTTCTGGGTGGCATCACTTTTAGCCTTCTCTACAACTTAGGGAACCCATGTTCTACATCAAAAGAAATCTCAGAAATTCACAAAATGCTCCCCCCAAAACACTCACAAAGCAGATAAAATCAAGTAGTTACTTAATGTGAAAATAAGAATAAAAACTCTTATATGTAACTTCTATATTTAGTGGCTATAAATTTCCATTTAGTTGACTTAGGAAAAAAATCCAATTTTGACTGTTACTAGATTTGTTAAAATGGGATTTTTTTAACCTATGTGACAAAATTAATGCAAGACATTCTACTGACATTTTAAAGAGAACTCTCCTGATACCAAATATGTGACAACTCCTATATAGGTAACTCTGAAGAATCACCACATCCATGGTTACTTTGTAGGTCACAAGATACTTAAAGACACAAAGTATGGACGGCAAACAGCCACTAGAGCATGCAAGTCCTTTTAAAGCTCTATTATAAGGCCAAGATATTATAAACCACAATATTAGGAAGGGTTTCTAGATGAGAAGAGAAAAATCAAGGTACAGCATTACTGAAACATGTAGTTTTGAAAATTCCCACTGCTGGCCAGAACCAAAAGTAGCTAAAACCTGTGTCTAGTTGTTCAGATATGAAATTCGGTTGTATGCTCAGGAATAGAGGGTCATCTATATGGTGAAAACCACACAGACTTTTCCTCAACAAGTTTTTCTTTCCTTTTTTTTAATGTAAAATTGACAAAAAGCAATCATAATCTCCTAGATTTTGTTTTCAAATCTGTATTGTTTTCTCCAAGAGTGAATTATCAAATGAAATGCAGTAATTTAATTCTTATAGGTTTCATTTAAAATTTACACTCTATTCATAAAAATTAATTTACATATCCACGGGGGAAAAACAAGACCACATTTTCCAGTTTTAAGACTGGAAAGTATGGTTGTCATATGTGTAATGAATGGTGGGATAAATGAGCTGTAGCCCAAGGATATCATACAAGGTATTCCAACATATTTATAGGCACAAATTAAACTGTAAACAGTATACTGCTCTGTTTCTAGCCAGATACATTTTCTCCACTATTCCATACAAATCGATTCTGTCACCTGGCATAGCATTTGTTCTTTTCTGTTAATGCATTAAGGTTTTCTCTTAAGTTGTCTTACCTTTTGTAAAGTGGCCCTATCTGATGGTGGAATCATCTCAGGAGTAAGAATGTGAGGAGGATCGATGCCCTTTATTAACTTTTGATTGATGAAGTGAAAAGCCAAGGCAAACTGATCTTTTGAAAGCTTCCCACAGTCCTTTGTGTCACATAATGCCCTGTACAAATAAACAAAAAGAACAGTATGTAAATGTCACAATTACCATTCTAAAAATCCAGGGGAAAATTAATATGACTATGTAGCTTTTAAATAATCACCAGTTGAATTAAAAAATAAAGTCATACCAACTTATGGCTAGCCAAAAACTCACTAAAATGTTAGAAGAGAGTTATTGGCTAAAATGGTAAGAAAAAGAGACTGTTCACCTTGGTGCTGAGCAGGGTCCTCTAATTTGGGTTTGCTCTGTGCTTTCTTACCAATTTCCAGAACCGCTACGGAGTAAAAGCTGTGGTGGGCCAAAGAATTCCAACATTCTCTACTCCCAACATTTTCAACATTAAAACATGTTAAAAATGAAACCTAAGTTTCAACAAATTTGGTTCGTTAGTGGCATTAGAATGATTCTAAAACAAGCAAAATACTCCATGTCGGCTTGTTTCCTACAACTTTTGAAGTAGGAGGATGTCAGGATCACCGTCAAAGAAAAATAACAGCTGCAAATGGAGATCACGTGTGGAGAGAAGGCAGCAATCTGGAAACCTTTACAAAAATCACTTGAAGAGAAACAGCAAATGTTTTATTCTATTTGCTTCCCCCCCGCCCCGCCTTTTGTTTTTAAGGTCAGCTTTCTAAAGTCCTGATCTGTTTGATTCATTGAAAACCAATGTGGCCTGATTAAAAGACTATGGGCTATGGTGTCAAAGAAACCTTACATTCCAGCTTTTCTACTTATTTCTTCTTGTGACATTGGCCATATTTTTTAACCTCTCCAAGCCTTAGTTTCTTCATCTATAAAGTGGAGATTACACCTATCTTGCAAGGTTACTGTGAGAATTAAAGACAAAGTACATAAAAAGTCTGGGCATAATGGCAAACCCATGACAGCTGCCATTTATTCAGCATAGTGCCTAGCCTAGGCACTTGAAAGTGGCAGCTATCACTAGCTACATATATTTAATCTTTCCCAGCCTTGGGTTCTTGTTCCTTTTAAAGCAGATCTGCTGTCCTTTGTTCTTTTCTAAGTTCCTCTTTGCAACTATATGGTTTCACTTCTGATGTTTGCTGCCCCTTGAAAACCTCATGATAACTAATCTCAGTATAGTCAGGTGGATTGGCAGCAGAAACACTATAAAAAGCATTTTCATTATATTATCTCATTTAATGTGAAATTCATTAGAGACACTAAAGTTTGTCATTTTTTAAGGACCAAGTGTATAGTTCCCACGTAAAGGTATAAAAGTATACATATACCCTATAGAAAGAATTATTCAAGTATACCTTGAAGATTCTGGATTTGTTTTATATTGTTTAAATTTCAGAATTTTGGATTCTCTCTTAAAAACTGAAGTTTAATTAGCTGATATAAACCAATGCTGGATTTTAACATTCTAGTAACCATTAACTGACACTGTCAATCTAATAAAACTATAGGTAACCCATTCTCAAGCTTTTGTCCACTATCCAGAAGAAATCATCAGACTTAAATTTTTCTCTACAAAGAATTCTAAACAAAAACTGTCCTACTTACAAATGCCTAAAAATAAGAATCTACAAAACTAGAGTTGATACAAAACCATATTTGTTTTTTAAATCACTTAAATATTAAGTCTTACCAAATATGGGCTAGTAAGGCAGAAGGTAAACCTGTCTTCAGGAAGATTTCACGGACTTCCAATCCAGACACAAATCCATCCATATCTTTATCAGTTTTCAAGAAGATTTCATCATATTTAGCTTTTTCTGCAGGGGATACAACCCACTACAGGAAAAAAATATATATATAGTATTTCCACCAAAATGAAACAAACTTTGAAGTGTCCCTCTTTCAGCCCATGACAGTAACTTTCACAAATTCTGTGCAATTCTACCCCACTAACTATAGCAACAGTGTGTCACTTCCATCACACCCCAACTGAAATGCTGTGATGAAGAGAAAATTACAGAATAAAAATACAGGTTAGCTATAGGGGCTGTACTTAAAGATGTCCATTTTACTTTTTTTTAAGTAATGAGTAAATTCAAGCACAGTTAACTCTTGACTTATGAATGACCACATTAAGATGCGTAACTAGGAGAGTCTACATAAACAAAAGATTCAGATAATTCTAAATCTCCATTTTTTTATAGTTTCATTCCCCGTTCTTAACTGTAGCCAAACTGGCTGATCTGCATATTTTGTCATTATTTTCCTTTACTCAACCTAACAAGAAGCAGGTTGTAGGAAAAAAAAGGCCTTGAACAACCCCAAATTGGAAAATTTGATCCCAAAGAATCAAGAGTTAACTAGAGATTAAACAAACAAAACATCTATTCACTTTGCCAGGGCAAGCATGCCAGATTAACATGGAGCATCTTCTTTCTCCAACTTTAATTCCAGGTAGATCAAGGCAAAGCCAATGAAACATCCATATGACCTAAGTAAGGCCAAATGCAGGAGAGGATTGTCTTCTCTAGGACATCACACTATATAGGTTCAACCAGAGGGAGCTCTGAATTTTTGATCCCTTTGATTGCTCCTTCTATCTTCATCAAGCAATCAACTGTTAAATGCCATGCATTTTGTTTTTTAAAAATAGTCCTTTAACACTGATAAATCTATACCTGTCTTAACGGTGCTTTGGTAGGTAAAATGCCTACAGGTGGTAAGGAGTGATAAGGTTCCTTGGCTGATGTTGAAGAGGGGATCAACCGCACAGAGCCTGATATACTGACCGTTTTCCTCTTAGAAGGTGGCACCAAGGCTGGAGGCAAGGACACTGGCACAGGTTCTTTCTCCAATGCGCAGTATACCAAAAACATGGCCTTCAAAACAGATGAACCAGGGTCATATATATTAAAATCATTTAACAACAACCACCCACGAACTGATTATTGCTCAAGAAAAAAGCATCTTCAAGCTGCCTCAAATCCTTTTATTAAGAAATTAGGCTGGGAAGGAAAGAGGAAAAGAGGGAGAGATGAAAGGAAGGACGGAGAAAAGGAAATAAATCAAAACTAAGCAACTTTTAGGAAGATATCCTAAGCAGTAAAAACTTAGACACACACCCTTCAAGTAAAGGTCTTGTAATGTCAAAAGAAAACAACCTGGGGAAAAAAATATTTGCAAAGAAAGAATTAACTTCCCTAATATATAAAGAATACTTAGATATTAACAGAAGAAAACCACAAAATCCAGTAGGAAAATAGGCTAAGAGTATTAACAGATACTTTACAGAAAAGTATATATCACAAATGGCCCACCCTTTAACTTATAAAAATATGCTCACTTTCACTCGCAAGAAAATGGCAAGTTAAAACTATATGAAAATACCATTTTCCTTCTAATGGCAAAGGTCCAAAGTTTCATAACACAATTTGTTAGCTAGACTGGGCAAACAGGCACTCTCGTACATTGCTAGTGAGAGCTCAAACTGGTACCAAGACTACTGAATGGTACTCTGGCAACATCTACCAAATTACTTATTTCCCTTTTGGCTCAGAAATCTGACATCTGGGAGTCTATCCTCAGATATCCTCTACCTGCCTACATAGGAAATGCTGTATGAAATAGGTTTTTAATTATAGAATTGTTTGTATTAGCACCCAAGTGCTCATCAGCAAAGACTGGTTTAAAAAACTATGGTATACCCATACAATGAAATACTATCAAACAAACCAACCCCCCACCTGCCCAAGAAAAAGCAAATCCATGGGAAATATTCTGTATCTTAACTGTGGTGGTACCTTCACAGATATATACAATTGTCAAAACTCATCAAATTATATACTTAAATTGAATGCAGTTCATTGTATGTAAAGTAGTCCTTAATAAAGCTGACCAGAAAAAGAATCATGGAGCCCTCTGTGTCAAAAGATATCCAAGGGGCTTCCCTGGTGGCGCAGTGGTTAAGAGTCCACCTGCCGATACAGGGGACACGGGTTCGTGCCCCGGTCTGGGAAGATCCCACATGCCGAGGAGCGGCTGGGCCCGTGAGCCATGGCCGCTGAGCCTGCGCATCCGGAGCCTGTGCTCCGCAACGGGAGAGGCCACAACAGTGAGAGGCCCCAGTAACGCAAAAAAAAAAAAAAAAAAGATATCCAAGATACTATGTTAACATGAAAAAAGTATAGCGGTGAACAGTGTGTATGTATAATAATAGTGTGTAACCTTTATGGTAAGGGGATAATAATTATTCATATCTGTTTTCATTAAGAAATTCTATGAGGATAAACAAGAAAGGAAGGATAAATAAGAATATATAGAGTAGGTGTAAATGGAGCAGTTGAGGGCAAGGATGGGACTGACATTTTTTTCCACTGAATATCTTCTTATATTGTACTGATTTCTGAACCACGAGAATGTATTACCTATTAAAATTATTTTTAATTATTAAATACAAAAAACCCCACAAACTTTCTATTTCCAAAAGCTTGAAACTCCAGAAAGAAAACTACTTTCAACCAAATTCACAATATATGTAATATTATTTCATACTTTCAAACAAATTCACAATATATGTAATATTATTAGCTTGGCAATGAGCTAAAAGAAGTGACTAACATGCACATTAAAGGTCAGCATTCCTCTTGCTACAGATGGGAGTCATTTCCTGGAAAAGTGGACACTTGAAGCAAAAAAGCTATGTCAGCCATCTGCTGCCAACAGACAACACAGTTTTTCAAAGTTAAAAAAATATATTACTAAGTTCATGTTGCCTTGAAAATAATTTTCCTGACAAAACTGAAGTAAAAAACTTTTCCGCCAAATAAAATAGAAAAAGTGAACAGTATACGGTTGAATTATGATTTTGTTTGTTTTCTTATTATATTGTACTTTATCCTAATCAAAGCATGTCACTGAAACAAACACAGCAACTAAATCAAATGATGTACAACGCTTGAAACCTGGCCAGCAACTAGTTTTTAAACTGAAATGTACTAGCAAATGCATTTGCACAGTTAGAGACAGACACTTAACTAAGAAGCATTTCATATATCTTTTTGATGATTTCAAGGTAAATGCATCAAAAATAAACCTAAGCTTACTCATGGACAGAGACAGCAGGGAAAGAGGGGACTAGATTCACTGTTGCAGTTAATTACCACTAGCTGTTCTCTTTCTTTGATTTTTTTTCATCCTCTATGCTTTTAGGGAGTATTTCTCAAATTTCTGGCCATTAGAATCACCTGGAGGGCTTGTTAAAACACAGGTTTTTTGACACAACCCCAGAGATTCTTATTCAGTTGGTTTGAGGTACGGCCTGAGAATTTGCATTTCTAATATGTTAACTGGTGATGCTGACGTTTATAGGAGACCATGCTTTGAGAACCAGTATTTTAGGAGTTTCCTAAGGAGTTTTGTTTGCTCGTTGGTCTACTCAGTCAGTTGAACTCCCAGTTTTAATTTCTAATAATAGCAAACTAGGATGAAATATCAGATGTTTGTTGTGTTTTCCAACTAATACACGTTTCCTTCATCAATTTAGTTCAACAAAACATTTACTGCAAAACTTCTAGCCAGCAGACACTGTGCTAGGCATTACAAATACAGAAGTGAAGAGATCTCTCTCTTTTTTTTTTTAAGAAGATGTTGGGGGTAGGAGTTTATTAATTAATTTATTTATTTTTGCTGTGTTGGGTCTTTGTTTCTGTGCGAGGGCTTTCTCTAGTTGTGGCAAGCAGGGGCCACTCTTCATCGCGGTGCGCGGGCCTCTCACTATCACGGCCTCTCTTGTTACGGAGCACAGGCTCCAGACGCGCAGGCTCAGTAGTTGTGCCTCACGGGCCTAGTTGCTCCAGGGCATGTGGGATCCTCCCAGACCAGGGCTCGAACCCGTGTTCCCTGCATTAGCAGGCAGATTCTCAACCACTGCGCCACCAGAGAAGCCCCGAGATCTCTCATTTTTACAACCCAACAGAAGCAGCAAACATGTAAAAAGTTGATTTCAGTGCTATGTGAACATGTTGAGAAAGAGAAAGAGAGATGTGTAATAAATCTCCAAGTGCCAAAAACTCTTCATATAATGAGGATCCAACAAATGCTACTGACAAAAATTTAGACCACTTTCAGTCTAAGAACTTAACCTGACAGAAAAATTTAAGACTTAGTAAGAATGTAAAAACCAATAGATAGATAGGAAGACAAAATACCAGGTAAAAGGAGCATGAGTCTACCTCTCCAAAGAGTAGAGAAAGATAAGAGGGAAATTATAGTGAAGAAACCTGGCGAACACCACCTTAACCAAGTGATGAAGGTTAACATCACCAGTGAAGGCATGTGGATATCATGTAACCCCCCACCCCTGATAAATGCAACGAGAAAGATATTCTACATCTGTGATACTCTTTCCAAAAACCCATACCCCCAGTCTAATCATGAGAAAAACATCAGACATACCCAGCTAGTACTCCTAGACAATGTCAAAGTTATTAAAAAAAAAAAAAAAGCAACACTGAGAAACTATCATAGACTAGAGAGACTAAGTAGACATAGCAATTAAATGTAGTCTGGTAGCCTAGAAGGGATCCTGGGACATAAAGGAAACACTGGTGAAATGCATTTAAAGCCTAGAGTTCAATTAACAGTAATGTACCAATGTTGGTTTTAGTTTTGACATATGTACCATGGCAATGTAATATGTTAATAGTAGGGGAAGTGGGGTGAAGGGTACTGAGGAAATCTCTGTACTCTATCTGCAACCTTTCTGTAAATTTAAAACCATTCCAAAATTTAAAGTTTATTTTTTAAAAAACAAATAAAAAAACAAAAACAGCATGATTGGGACTTCCCTGGTGGCGCAGTGGTTAAGAATCCACCTGCCAATGCAGGGGACATGGGTTCGATCCCTGGTCCGGAAAGATCCCACATGCCACAGAGCAACTAAGCCTGTGTGCCACAACTACTGAGGCTGTGCTCTAGAACCTGCTAGCCACAACTACAAAGCCCACACACTGCAACTACTGAAGCCCATGCACCTCTAGGGCTCGCGTGCTACAACCACTGAAGCCTGCGTGCCTAGAGCCTGTGCTCCGTAACAAGAGAAGCCACTGCAATAAGAAGCCCGTGCACTGCAACAAGAGTAGCCCCCGCTAGCGGCAACTAGAGAAAAGCCCACATGCAGCAACAAAGACCCAAGGAAGAAAAAAAAAAAAAAAAAAAAAAGCCCAGCATGATCTAGAAGGCCCAGGCTCAGCCCTGGCTCTGCCACTAACTGATCTGCTTAGAGGAGCTAATTTACAAAATCTTGTCCAACTCTAAAAATCTATGAAAAAGCATAAGCATAAGCTCATTTACCAAATAGTAAATTACTAGATTTAGGGGTCTTCCCTTTAGGTTTGAAAGCCATGGTTTCCGGCTCAATAAAACAAAGAACTATTTCATAGAATAGGACTGCATACTGGTGGAAGTCATCCCAACAAAGGAAACAATAAACTTTAACATGATTATTAGTCACTTCCCTTGGTTCAATACCAAGACCATAATTTTATATACATTTTGAGTTTTCAAACAAATACCAGAGAGGAAAATTTGGCCCATTTGCAAAATGTCCCCTTAATGCCCTGTCAGAGACTCTCTCCTAACCTAAGTCAGAAGTAAAACTCAGGAAGATGTATTTCCAATATCCTTATTCTCTAATCATAGAATTCATCAATGAGCAAATAGAATACCAATAATAGTCACAGACATTTTAAAAAATCAACATTCAAGGATATAGAAATTATTTTTTAAATCCACTTTATTTTTGTGTGTATACATACACACATGCCCCTCTCAAAAGTCATTTTATGAACTACAGAAATGATTCCTGAAAGTAAGTCTTCAA